AGCCGGCAATTCAACAACTTTTTTTATATGTTCGACTTCAATGTATCAGCTGACGTGTTTCGTCATCGGCTACTTGGCCTTTTCCGTACCGTTGACCCTAACTATTTAGTTTAAGTTTTATTCATTTAGACAATAATTGTCAGTTGAATTTTTAAATAAATAAACAAATAAACTATATAGGCGAGGAGGTCGCGGGGGGGAAAGTGCGGTTTTAGAGCAAATTGTAAACAAAATCCTAACACCTATATGTAGTCACCTTCGAGTTGTCAGGGCTCGCTTTCTTTAAGGTGATACGGCACGTCATCCAACAATGGCTGTTCCTACAATCATTAAATAAACGTGTTTTGGTATGCGTACGAAAGACATCTTCCTACAAAACAGTAAATTACTAATTACATACCTTAAAAATGGGCCTGAATTGTATGAATAAGATCTGGATACATATTTTGATACTTTTCCACCAAAATATTGCCAGTTCCTTCACGCATTGATAATATTTACATTAAAATGTACGATCGGTCGATTTTGTTCTGCCCAGGGCATCAAATTTCAATAACTGTTTTCACTAGTTTTCACTTCTCAGAACCACACTAAAAACAATTACGACACGTGCTTCTACAAGCACTTTCAAGTTAATTAACTTTTAAAGACGATATTTACTTAAATAATATCATTTGCATCGTTAAAAACGCGAGCCGCGAATAATTTTGCAAGCTGAAACTGTTTTGTTTACCTTTTTTCTACACACCGCATTGCGAAGGTGTGTGTACGAATCATCTATCATCGTATCGAGTGTAGTCGATTTAATTGAATCAAATTGTGTAAAAACAATGCTTTTATTGCTTTTTAATGTGCTTAAAATGTGTTCAATTTAGAAATCATCACTAATAAATGTTTAAAACAATTTCTTATTTTGTTTCTCAAGACAAAAAATGAAAGTAAATAAATTTAGAAATCTTCTATAGAAAACATATGTGTCGTTCTGGGTGCACTGCTCGAAGCAATCAGCTGATACGCAAAAGGCGGAAAAAGGATGATTCTAAAACAAAAACATACACGATAAGAAAAAATATCCAACGGCCAGTTCATTTTTGCCTACTTTTGACTTTGAGTATAATCATATACACCTACTTTTGGGTACAACTAACTATTTTTGGGTAGAAGAGAATTGTCAATTCCATACTAATTGAACACAAGTAAATGAAAACTCTTCGACCCACATTACCTACTTTTGGCTTCCTGCAATATAGTGGCGAGATTTGTGAAAATGAGTCACTTTGGGATCTTTTTTCTTACCGTGTACCCGCAGGTTTGAGCTCTGGAATCACTTTTGGACAGGTCGTATGTAACAAAAGTGTACAAAGTGTGATGTTGAATCAATTAACTACTATGATGACTTGACTCAGTTGGTCTTGGTGGCTAGGCGCATAATTATTTTCTTTATAGGAAGGGGTGTCCTGGGAAGTGGTAGGTCGATAATATTGGCAAATTGAATAGAAATGTAGTGATAGTTTCAATATTGGATGATAAAGAGAAATCTTCATCGCTTTAAAAATCACGAAGGTTGAAACTAACAATAATATGGACATAACTTATTCTTTACCTTTCTAATTTTTTTAATTAACATTTACACATTCGACCCTGATAATAGCGAACTCTAGAAGCTATGTTTACGGTAGTTGCGATAGTGCATGATGTACACTCACACCACTACAGCATCAATGATAAGCAATTCACTGACACATAGAAAGGATAGAAAAAAAGCAAAAAAAGCGTGATGTATCGTATCTAATATTTGAATTCAAGACCAACAATTGAAAAGGTCTCAACTCCATTTTGTAAACAAACATTGTAAGGCCATTTTCTCGCGATCCGAAACCTACAATCGCAAACCTAAAACAAAATCGAGTAGAGCAGAATTTCCCATACCTGTTCCTTTTGTTGGTTTGCGTTGGCGGACTTCAGTTCTCGACAAAATGGCCTATGTCTCTTCTATTTAGTAAAGTGGACTGTAAATTTCTTCGAGAAAGCTACTTTTTTCGGACCTTAAAAGAAACGCGTCCGATTCACTGTAGCGTCAAAAACAACTCCCTTTATTGCGTCGAAATAAAAGCAAAATAAGAAAAAATACATGTGTTTGTGTTACTGCGATACAAGGCATCGAGAGAAGAAATATGATAGGGGTGCTCAAAATATCGACAAACATCCTCCCCGGCGTTGAAACTCCTTTCAATCTTCGTTATCCACGTCCAATGGAAGTAGACATATCTCTGTCACTGCTCGTTTATACTCTCCTTTGGTTGTCCTCAACGACACGACACGTGTCACTCCATCAGGTCCGGGATGAAGAGCGATGATCCACCCAAGCTGCCAATGTAACGGTGGCGCATTTCGATCCACGACGAGTACAAGAGCGCCTAACGGAATGCTTTTATGCTTCAACCATTTCGATCTATTCTGCAGTTCTGGCAAACATTCTGCTGTCCATCGCTTCCAGAAGTGCTGCAACATGGTTTGGACAAGCTGCCAGCGGGATAGTGTAGATTCACGGAGATTCAGATACGACGGCTCAGCGACAGCTTGCATTTCTTGCCCAATCAGGAAATGGGCCGGTGTGATTGCGGTAAAGTCGCTCGGATCATCTGAGCACGGTGCAAGTGGCCGCGAATTCAGGACAGCTTCAACCTGAGTCAGAGTGGTTTAAAGCTCCTCGTAGGACAACTTTCGATCTCCAACAATTCGTGTGAGGTGGAACTTTACTTGTTTCACCCCCACCTCCCAAATCCCACCGAAGTGGGGGCTTCGTGGTGGTATGAATGACCATTCAAACCCTAGACTGGTGCAAAATTCAGCGATCTTCCGAGCCTCCTGCTGGTTCTTAAACATCTCTGCAAGTCTGTGGAGCTCGTTTTGTGCACCCTGGAAATTCGTCGCGTTATCCGAATACATTTTGCAAGGAACTCCCCGCCGGCTGGTGAACCGCCGAAGTGCGGCGAGGAAGGCTTCTGTCGTCAAAACAGAGACGAGTTCGATGTGTATAGCACGAGTAAGCATACACATAAACAAGCAAATGTAAGACTTGAGATCAACGGCTTCCGTCCCACAGACGTAGATTTGAGTAGAAACGGTCCAGCAAAGTCAACACCAGTGTTCGCAAAGGCTGGTGCAGGTCGTACGCGATAAGAAGGTAGGTCACCCATCAGTTGTACTGTCTTCATAGGACTGGTCTTAAAGCACGTAGTGCAGTTTCGAATTATCTTCCGAATCGTAGCCTTGACATTCAGCGGCCAGAACTGTTGTCGGATGATCGCTAGAAGACCCTTTTGTCCAATTTGGAGGTTAATTCGATGACGATTTCTCACGAGTGCTTCCGTAACCGGATGCTTCGCCGGAAGTAACATTTGATGACGACTGTCATACGGAATGAAAGCGTGCTTAATTCGTCCTCCCACTCTCAGAATTCCTTCGACTGGATCTAGGAACGCCTTGAGACCGCATAGACGATGCTTAGACTTGCTATCCTTAAGGCTCGAATCTCCGGTTGAAAAGTCTCTTGCTGGACCAATCGCACCACCAATTTAACAGCCTGTTGCCTTTCTGATGAATTCAGTGGCCCCTTTACTATTATCTTTCGTTTCGAAATGATGTAGTTAGCAAACCTAACAACGTAGGCCATGGATTGTAGCATTTTTTCAAAACTACTCAATGTATCAAACATCTTTATTCGTTTCTGTGTTGCGGCCGTGACAGCTAGACTGACTCCGGAGCACAATTCTGGTAACTCTTCGTCCGGAAGTTCTGGTTCCTCTGCAGCTTCAACGGATATTGTTCTCAGCATCGGTGGTCCTTTCCACCAAATCTCATTCTTGTTCATTTCTCGGGGACGCTGCCCGCGAGATATGAAATCGGCAGGATTCTCGTTTGTTGAAATGTAACGCCACTGGAAGTGGCTGGTAAGCTTCTGTATCTCCGAAACCCTATTGGAGACGTAGATCTGTAGACTTTTCAGCGGTTTCTTAATCCAGCAATACACAATCTTCGAATCAGTCCAGAGGTTCACAGATTCAATTTGTAGGTCGATGGCATGCAAAACTTTATCGGTCAGCCTTGACAACAGTACAGCTGCAAGAAGTTCACCGCGAGGCGTCGTGATGGTCTTAGTTTTTCCGAACTTTCGAGGTAGAATTCGTGATTTGCTGGAGATCAAGTGCATCGTAGCCACTGCGTGGGGATGAATCACACGTGTGTACACACAAGCCCCGTAGGCTTGATCTGACGCATAGGAAAAGCCATGCAATTCCACTTTCAACGCATCGTCTGATGAAATCCATCTAGGAACTTGCATCTCGTTCAGCTGCACAAGCTCGTTCCGGAAAGAACGCCAAATTTGGAGCAAATCCTGTGGGACCGGGTCATCTCAATCTGTCTGCAGCATTGAAACCTCTCGCAGTATCAGCTTGGCCGTCGTAATTACGGGTCCAATCAGTCCGAGCGGGACAAATATTTTTGCCACCTCGTTCAGAATCTTTCTTCTAGTAGAAGCTCCCGGATCGCCTTCAGTAACGCTATACGAAAACCAATCCTTTCTTGGGTTCCACACTACGCCCAAAGTCTTTACAACAGCGTTCGAGTTGTCTCCGATAACTTCGAAAGTGACTCCTCGAAGCTCTTCAGGAATGCAATTCATAATTTCTTCGGCATTCGAACACCATTTGTGCGCTCCAAAACAACCTTTACCTAGAATATCATTAACATCCTGCTGTAGCTTGCAAACTTCCGGTAGTGAATCCGCTCCCGCCAAAATATCATCCATGTAAGCGCCCTTCTTGATCGCGCGCGCTGCTTCGGGGAAATCTTTTTGATAGTCTTCCGCAATCTGGTTCAACACCATCGTAGCTTGGAACGGAGACGATGTCAACCCGTAAGTCACAGTCTGAAGCTCCCTTACAGTCAATAATTCATCACGCTGCTTTCTATACAGAAACAGCTGATATTTCCCGTCAGATAGACCCGTCAAATACGACTCTCAACTTTGTTGTCGTACTCGTCGGTTTCAATATGCAATGATGCGGCAAGTAGAACACAGACCCCGGTTTCTCAGTTTTGTCAATCTCAACCACTCGCAGGTGGCCAAGCCGTTCGTATTCATCGATAAAATCACAATACTGTTGTTTCAGCTCTGGTTGCTTATCGAGTCGCCGTTCAAGGTTCAGGAACCTTTGAGTTGCCATCTCCCGGGAATCACCCAATTCGTTTTTCTTGTCATTGAATGGGTGTCGAACGAAGTATCTTCCATCCTTGTTTCGCACATGAGTACACTTGAAGTGCTCCAAGCAGTCCTGGTCGGATTTCGAAAAGGAAGTACGATTCACATCGCAAGCTTCCAAGCGGTAGAAGTTTTTCAATATGTCTTCGAGTCGCTCATCTCCAGCGATCAGGCAGAGTGAACGAGCAATAACTGGACTTTCCTTGGCAAGAACTCCTCCAGCTATCCATCCAAATTCAGTCTTCGTAAACACTGGAAGATTTGGTGCGAGACGAATTCGGTCATTCTGGACTAGGTCCCAAAAGATTTCAGCACCGATTAGCATATCGATGCGTCCTCGTTTGTTGAATGCTGGATCGGCCAACTCGATTCCCTCAGGCATTGGCCAATTCGAGACATCGAAAGATTTCACCGGAACGTCACCGGTGATTCGTGGTGCTATCAAAAACTCCAATTCGGCTGCAAATGCTCCATTACGAGATTTCACTGTAGTGCGAATCATGTTCCGAAGGCGAATATTGGAACCGTTTAATCCGCTAACCAAGTAATCAATGGGTTGCTTCTGCTGTGACAGCAGATTCGCAAACCGTTCAGTAACGAAATGTAGCTGTGAGGCCGAATCCAACAACACTCGGCAGGGATAATGTGCACTGCTGCCACCATTGACCATTACCACAGCGGTAGAAAGAAGCGTCTGTTTCGAAGGGATGGCTGCGCTGACACACAAGGTGGTAGCAGATTCTAGTTGAACAGCATCTGGTTTCTTACTGGAGCTCGGTGCTGCTTTCGATTCATCGTTCACGTTTGTTGTCGATTCCACCGGTACGCGGTTCGGAACACTTCCACTGTGTAGCAATGTGTGATGACGTTTGCCACAATCGCGACAATTGTGCGATGAAGAGCACCCACTCGTACGATGCCCCCTTTGTGAGCAATTAAAGCAAGATCCCCACTTTTTCAAGGAACTGTATTTTTCACTCACATTCAGTTCTTTAAACTTGTCACACTTCCAGAGTTCGTGATTGTTCTTGCACATCACACACTTCAATTCATGTTTGTGTTCATTCGTAGCCACTAGTGTGTGGCATTTGTTCACTGGTTTCACTTTTGCACTTTCCACTAACGGCTTCGTGTTGATGTTAATCTTCTCCATAATCCTGAACTGCTCTTGCAGAAACTCGATCGTCGCTTCGTAGTTCGGGTATACACCCTTTTTCTGCCGACCTTCCCATGCCCTTGTCCAACTTCGACGAGATCTGGTGAAGCAGCATTTGCTCTCCAAGCCCATTGACTGGTAGCACCAGATTCTTGAGTGCCTCCACATTCTTGGTGCAGGTATCAATCAACTTTCATTTCAGATTAATCAGCGCCTGAATATGCTTGTCCATGATCAGACGTTTATCCTCGTATCTTTCAGTGAGAAACTTCCACGCGGCTGCGTAATCATTATTATTCACGATATCTTGATCGATGATACCCGCTGCCGATCCCACGAGAGTATTTCGCAGGTGAAACAGCTTGATTGCTGGTTCCTCCTGCTGATATCGATTCATAATAGTAGTGAACATCGATTTGAACGAAAACCACTTCTCATAGGATCCGTCGAAAGTTGGTAGAGGCGCTTGGAGAGGAGGTAAATAGGGCTGGGCTGGCATAACAATTGAAGAACTGACTACTGGCATCAACGGTTTTGCAGCATCGTTCGTTGCTGCCTCCAGTAGCATATTCAAGCGAATTACCAAATCGTTATGCAACGATTCGAAATCGATGTACCGATCTTCTTGCTCGGCTCTTCGTTCATCAGAGAGGGTTAGTGCGTAAATTTTGTTTTGCAAGTCATTGTACTCGCTATAGCAAGTTTCCATTGTCTTCAAGTGCAGTCGAAGGAAATGCACATTGCTAATGTTCGGGTTCGGCTCATCTTCATCGAGCACTAACGAATTCTTCACACGAGTGAGCTTCCCTTTCACTGCCCCCCTCTGATGAACCAACACTTTGAACTGTTCTTCCGTTTGGATAGCTTCTTCTTTTTTCTTCTGAAGGAGCTTTTGCTCCTCAACCGTAAGCTTCTTCGGCGTGTTGACCATGAATTCCTCTTCACATAAGGTCAAACTCACGCTAACACTCCCGAACACAGCTAGAGTTTTCAGAGAACGAGCGTGCCATGCGCAAAATGGCGGCTAGCACCCCGCTACACTCGACCGATCGGCGACGGACGAATCGACAGTGAGCATGCATAAGGGCGAATACGCGATGATCGATTCTCTTCATCGACTTTCTCTTTGCATTGCTACAGCTAAGCGAAACAATTTTCTAGAATTTGTTCAATGCAGAGTAGTAACAGGTTGTATTGGCTATCAAAAGCAACAGCAAACGCACCGAGAAATGTTAAATCTAGCGAGTTATTAACAAAAGAGAAAATCGACGAAGAGAATCGATCATCGCGTATAGGCCCTTATGCATGCTCACTGTCGGAATGTTCGCAAAATTTCACCCGAAATGACAGTTTTTCGCGGTGAAAGCACATCTACACTGGTTTTCTATGAAAATTCGGCTCAAGAAGGACCACAATGTCTCTTCTATTTAGTAAAGTGGACTGTAAATTTCTTCGAGAAAGCTTTCGGACCTTAAAAGAAACGCGTCCGATTCACTGTAGCGTCAAAAACAACTCGCTTTATTGCGTCGAAATAAAAGCAAAATAAGAAAAAATACATGTGTTTGTATGTGTGTTACTGCGATACAAGGCATCGAGAGAAGAAATATGATAGGGGTGCTCAAAATATTGACAAACAGTCTACAACAACCCTTGTTTACAAAATAAAATTGAGGCCTTTTAAATTGTTGGTCTTGAATTAGCATCTTCAAATATGTAAATCGTTAACTTAACGCAGAAGTAATACAAACAAAATAGATAAATTAATTTAGTTACGTTTTAAATTCTATACACAAACAATTACGATCCAGAATTAACAAAAATTGTCAAGATTCAAGATCCTGATCTTAGAAAACTTTTCAAGATTATGGAGCTGGATTCGAAATTCTAAGAGAAATGTTCGAGACATCGGATTTTGAATATTTATTAATAACAATTATATGTTAAAGTTCCAATCAAATTCCCGGTTGTTTTCCTTATTCCCTGTTTTCCACTAACATAAATTCCTTTCCTATGGCGTGTGGAGTGTCTGTCAAACTACCAATCTTTCCCTTTGCCGATATTCCTAAGCACGTGTCCGGCGCCGTTATTGTTGTAATTGTAATTGTTCAGTGTATAGGCTGTGCCAACCCCTAAGTTGGCTTATCTAGGGACTAACCCCCTAGTCTATACACCTACTGTCCTTCCCGTTGCACTCGTCAGCTCGTACGATACTCTAGACACACATGGGTGGTCGTATCCGCTTCCTCCCCTGGGTAGGCTCGTGACCGTCCAGGTTCTGGTACATTAACTTATATCTATGCATGGTAATTATACTTTACAACTCACCTTTTGATTATAAATGTCGATAATGCTGAAACTATGTGAAGGTTAGTGATCATTATTAGGTGTGTGCTGCAATGGAGTAGTAATTGAAGGAAATGAGGTTTTCATGTGGCTCAAATAAACCCATACCCCACTCACTTGGCCAGGCTTCGGAATCGTCCAGTGGGCAGTGCGCTCTACACTCCAAGTTCCCTTTCTTTCAAATTCGCCCCAAATTTGATATTTTAACCCTTTGAGTGATGATTAATCACAATGAAAGATTGTGACAGAGCACGGACTTGAGGTTACTAGAGTATTAAATAATCTAGGTCCTATTTAGGATTATATCTGAAAAATCCAAATCTGGCCAACGCCCACCGTTATTGTTCTTGAAAATACAGATTCACCACAATTAGTACACAGATACTGGTTTGCTGATCCGAAGCCCCATTCTTTGGGTTCTTTGTGCTTATTTCTATGGACGGTCATCAATGTTCACGCTCAAACTGCAAGGAATTTTCGAAGACAAATCATCTCTCAACACTTCCGTGTGCTACACAATCGATTTCACAACTATCGAACTACATATTAACATAGTGCTATTCAAATTCAACCCACACTTACCTCATCCTCGCGCTGATCGGCCATTAAGCCTTCCTCCGAGTCATCATCGCCCATGGTTCCGGGGCCTTCTTCGTCCACCAGCATCTCGTGCCCGGCTAGTTCCTTATCCTCATCCTTGTGCATCTTGGACATATGGAACCGTAGCGTTTTCATCATTACAAACTTTTGCGGACAGTAGCGACACGGGAACCGGATGCCATCGTTCTTGTGCTGTCTCAGGTGCCGGTCCAGGTGCTTCTTGTCCTTGATACAAGTGTAGCACTTGGGACATTCGAACATGTGGGGATTGTCGTGAATCCGAATATGGCTCTTCATCTTAGCCTCCGTGGGGAACAATTTGTCGCACACTGGACAGTGCGCTTCCGATTCGTGCATCCGCTTCATGTGCAACCGGTAGTGCCGATTTGTGGCAAAGTGGCGCTGACAGGGAGCACAGCTGTGCTCCGTTTCTCCGGTGTGAGATTTGATGTGCAATTCGAGCTTCTTCGGATCACGGCATACGCGGTTGCAGATGTGACAGCGGAAAATGTTTCCTTCGCGCTCGTGTCGAGCCATGTGCACCCGCAGTCGGTAGGCTTGCGTGAAACTGTGGCCACACAGGTCACAAACCACCATCTGATCTTCCGAGTGACTTCGCAAGTGCAGCTTTAATCCCTCCGCCGAAACCAGCACCTTATCGCACACCGTACACTGGAACTTGCTCTCATTGGTGTGAATGTTGAACACGTGGCGCTTGAGGGTGATTCGGAAGTTGAACTCCTTGCCGCAGATGTCGCAGATATAGTGCCCAGGCAAGTTGGAATGGTGCTGCTTCTGTGGTCTACGGTGTCTCATCAAGTGCGAGGCCAGTTGCTTCCGAGTGGGGAATCCCTTGCCACACAGGTCGCACATGTGGTTCTTAGCGTCCGAGTGGACACTCTTCAGGTGCGTATCGAGCAGCAGTTGGGAATTAAACGTTTCCGTACAGTTGGGACAATTGTACAGGGTTACTCGCTGATGACCGCGCTGGTGGTTTCTCAGCGCTGCTGGCGTTGCAAAAGAGGCATTGCAAATGTTACACTGCATCGAGTCATCGTCGGGATGAGTTGATCTGCGGTGTTGAAGTAGTTCGTCGGAATTCGGAAATCTCAAGTAGCACGTCCGACATTCGATTCCGGGCAGCTTGAAGAGCTGATGGTCATCTTTGCGGTGCTGCATCAGCTCACTTTGCGAATCGAAGGTTCGTTTACAGATTCGACAGCAGACCTTACCGTGCACGGGCCGGTGCGCTGTTAGGGCACCTTTCGTCGTGAACTCCTCGTCGCATTCCTGGCATTTGAATGTCACCACCGCCTTCTCCACCAGATGCGTCTTTCTGTGATTCATTAGATTGTGATTTCGTTTGAACTTCATGCCACACTGCTCGCACTCCCATCGGCGCTCATTCGTGTGGGATATTCTGTGCTCCCGTAACGCGGCATTGCTGTCGTATGTGCTGCCGCATTCCAGGCAGATGAAGTTCTTGGCCACCTTCTCGTGAACTCGTCGTTTGTGTTTGGCCAAAACTGAATGCGAGGTGAACTTTTCCTTGCAGATTTCACAGCTGAAACCTTCCTCCGTATGACCTTTCATGTGACGCTTCCAGGAGCTCTTGGTAGACAGTTTGATTTTGCATACCTTGCAGGGGAACTTAATTCCTGAATGAACCATTCGTATGTGCTCCTGAAGGTTCCCATTGGTCATGTAGGTCTTTCCGCAATCAGTACATCGGAATGGTCGGTCCCGGTCATCATGCTTCTGGGCCATGTGGCGATCCAGAAGCTCCTGAACGAGAAATCCTTCGTCGCACAGGTTACAGGCGAGAATGATGGAGCCATCAGCTTCGCCGGGGACTTTCCGGGAGGGAGTTTTTACCTGTTTCTTATTGCGAGCTTTCGGTGTGCTCTTCCTCTTGCGTTTGGCGCGTTCATACTCCGAGTCTGAGTCGGAACTTGGAGAGGAGGAGGAAGAAGAATTAGATGAAGACGAACTCGAATCGCTGGAGTTGGACTCATCGCTTCCTTCCTCTTCATCCTGTTCAACCTTAATCTGCACCTCGGGTAGGGGTAGTTCCTGTGTGTGCAACGTGTCCATCGGATCTTGCAAATCTTCAATTGGGACTTTTGAGTCTATTGGATCGTGCAGTCCTAGCTTACTTCCACTGGATGTTGACGGTTCCGTTCCTAGAATATTCAGAATATCTTAACAAGTGCAACGATTACAGAAACCCTACAACTCACCCATCCATCCTACTTCCAGCGATTCAGCGTGGCGTATCATGTGCTTCTCCAAACTGTCCGCTTTGTGGAACATTTTCCCGCACTCGTCACACTTGAACGCCGGATGTTTCCAGTGCAGCATCCCAACGTGCTTCTTGAATTTTTCCTTATTCCACCGGGTAACCGCTCCGAACTCCGCATCGCAAGCCGAGCACGTCAAGCATCCATCTTTGACGATGTAGATCACCGGCGTCACAGCACCTCCATCGTCATCCTCATCACCTTCGGCACTGTAATTACCGCCGTACTCCTTGTTCAGCGCTTCCAACAGATGCTTCCGCAGTAAATCGACCCGTTCGAAGGTTCGATTGCAGTGGTTGCATCGGATTTCCCGTTTTCCGCCGCATGCCCGTCCTCCGTTGACGTGCTTTACCATGTGTCGCCGCAACGCCGGCATATTCGGATACGCTCGACGCTTCTCCATCGGACAGGCGGCACACTGATATCCATCCTGTACGATCAGATAGTCGATCGTATCGAACATCGACTGCAGGCCGTGCGCCGGCAGCATCGGCGGGGGCGATGGCTGAGAATAGAAGAACAATCATCGGTACCATTAGAGTTCAATGATGAAAATGCGTTCCCGGACCGCCGCCACCCAACAAGTCAGGATGGCCGAGCGGTCTAAGGCGCTACGTTCAGGTCGTAGTCTTCTCTGAAGGCGTGGGTTCGAATCCCACTTCTGACAAAATACACTTTTTGGCATTATTTTACTCCACATATTGTTCCGAATCAAGCAAAACCCCAACTACCGCTAAAATGTAAATCTAATGGAGAACCTTTTCCAGCATCCTTTCAACCTCGGATTAAGCTTGGAGGTTTACAATGAAAATCAAAGATGCACTGACGTCAGACGATCAACAAACCAACTGGTATTTTTTCACGCATTAAAAATCGTTCCAAAACACTCACCTGGGCCTCAACGTCCACCGGCTCGCTGCCACTGTCGGCTTGATCTTCCACTTTTTCATGTTTAATCGCTGTTTCAGTGTCAGAGTCCATTGTTTTAGAGGAAAATTACTTTTTGCAATTTTTCATGTGAAGCCACTCGTTTTTCTTCACATGAAAAGTGCTGCGGCAGCTGCCACTCGATCCGCTCCGCTCGTGGTTATAGAAACTCACCTAATAGACGTGCTGATGTATTCAAACGGACTGTCAAATCGTATGGAAATGCTCGTTTGGATACAACATTTGGTACCCGCACATCTACTAAATGAGTATCTATACTCGAGATGGCTTATTTATATCGGAAAATGTCTCCTTTCGCCGCTCACTGCTCAGACGTCAAAAATGAGCGATGATGACGCGACGCCAACTTCACTGCCATCGATGATAATGATGATGTTGTCAGCCCTTCAGAAATGGTTGTTTTTTACAAATTTGTGCTGCCGGTGATTAGTGTGGGTTAAAACAAAAATAAAATTGTTTTTTTTTTGCAATCTCAACAACTTTCATCACAGCAATAAATTAGTGACGGAAATTGTTACGAAAATGTCCGGTGAAAACCTGGGCGATGAAATGAGTGAGATTTCGATAGACAGTGTCGCAGTGAACGAGGAAATCGAAACCTTCGAGACGCATACACTCGTGGAAGAAGAAGCAGGGGTAAGTGCAGTGGAAACCCGATTAAAAAGATGCATCGAGAACAGTGATCATTTCAGTACTTTAAAGTGGTGAAAATTGGAAATTGGTGATTTCTGCTAGTATAATACTTATTAAAAATAGTTCCAGTGCTTCTACACTGATGAAATTTTGGATTTCGGTTCCATTTTTAATGCAGATTACGAATATGCATTTACCTAAATACCCTTAAAAAACCCAATTGAGACTTATCAGTGATCATGTAAAGTATAAGTAAGGCAAATAAATCAAAGTGTCATGAAAAAAATTTAATTTTAGCGTGACAAAAATTTATTTAAATTCTGTCCTCAATTTCTGTTTTATTTTGATTGTTGTAGGATTACCAAATTTGACGCAGTAGTTTTGGCTGCAACTTTCCTTAAAACACCATTTTTTTTTATCTAGCTCTTCATTTGACAAGGTTAGAGCAATTCTTCAGCATTCAAAAGTTCATTTTACGAGATGACGGGAAAATAAAGGAATTTGAAAAGTAACCAGGAAAACCGGGAATTTGAAGGGAGAACTGGTAAAAATCTACAAACCTTAATATATGGCCAAATTTGTACGCTATATTTTCAGAACTAATAAGTGAAACAGTGCAAGTCTTTACCAAAAGAAAAACTTACTTTTTTGCTGTATAATTGCAATCAGTTATTCGTCTTATTTTAATTACTCACCAATATTGCAAATGGATTGTTCATCCCTACTCCAATCCGGGTTTAATTGACATGATCCTTAAAGTAAAATACCGGACTTGAAAAAAAAAAAACGTGTGAAAACCGAAACTCAACTTAAAATTTTCCGACATTTTATTTTTTACGGTTTCTAATCAGAATTACCATAGAGATTGCTAAAGTATGATTGCGTCAGTGATTTGTTTTCATCGGGAAAATTTTCCGCTATGAAGATTTTTTTCCCTTCGAAAACATTTTGCGTATACGTATGCGTGATGTAGTGTGCGTACGATAAACGTCAGCAATCTCTATGCAATTCTTATTAGGTATTAATCCCGTAGAATTATGATGAGATAGGGGAAAAGTTGGCTTCGGCAATACCTTAACCTATTATTGTCAGGGGGTAAACAACGTCCTTGAGAGCTCAATTTTGACATGTGGATACATTGTGTTTCAGAGCAACTATTGGCCAAATTTGAGTGCTCTAGGACTTTGTTTACCCCCTGACGATATTAGGTTAAGGTATTTCCGAAGCCAACTTTTCCCCTATATCATGAAATTCTTGGTAAAACTAACAGAAAACTCTTCTCGGAATTCTCGCGTAACATCCTCGTTGATCGATTCTCTTCATCTACTTTCTCTTTGGTTTACCACGGCAACATATACGAATTTCTCGCTAAGCTCACAGCACAGTTCGACAGAAGATGATTTTAGCTTGTGCCTGAAACAACACACTCTATGGGAAATTCATTTGCAGTCGGGTTATTCGCAAAAGTGAAAATCGATGAAGATAATCGATCAACGAACTTCGTATATGAGCAACGCAGGGAAGTCGGCTTACCCTCTTCCATGATTTTAAATGGTGAAACTGCTGGCAATCAACAAGACATTTGCAACCTGTTCTCAGCCAAATTTGCTAGTGTGTTTGAAGACGAGCAACTCTCCGCTTATCTCATTACTTCCGCGGCCAGTAATGTTCCTTTGGTCAACCAAACGCTCAGCATGGTCGAAGCCACTACAGATACGATTTATAGAGCAGCATCTAAACTTAAGACTTCAGCTAAGGCTGGACCCGAACATCACTTGTCTTTTAGATCCACAGCGCCACATATTTCAGCTCTCTCCTTCCAGCGGCATCTTTCCGTCTTGCTGGAAGACTGCGGATATGTTTCCTGTTCATAAAAAGGGAAGCAACTACCTGGGAATCACGTCGTCGCTGAGTGCTGTATCAAAACTTTTTGAATTGGTTGTCATAGAGTCCCTAAATGCGCATTGCAAGCAATATCTAAGTATAGATCAACACGGATTCATAACTGGGCGTTCCACAACTACGAACCTGCTGTGCCCAACGTCTTATATTACAGACAGTTTGATTGCTCGGCCCTAATAAACAAATACCATAAACGAACTGTATCCCGGATGGGTAAACTATCACACAAATGGTTTGGATGATACTCCGAACACGTCGTTAAGCTCTCTTTTATGGTTATTTTTATTAGGGGGACCCAAACAGATCTAACGGCAGCCTTCGATAAGCTGAAACACGAAATTGCGATCGCTAAGCTTGATAGGCTAGGGCTCGGTGGAAATCTTTTGAGATGGTTTCGTTCATACCTCACGGAGCGCCAACTGTCAGTAACTTTGGGTACTTGTCGCTCAGCAAGCTTCTGCGCAATGTCCGGTATACCTCTGGGTAGCCATCTGGGACCATTGGTATTTCTCCTTTACTTCGACGACGTTCACCATGTTATCACAGGGCCGCGATTATCGTTTGCAGACGATCTGAAAGTTTTTCTGCGCATCCGCTCACTTGTCGACTGCCGTTCTCTCCAAAATCAGATTGACATCTTTGCTGACTGGTGGTCAACCCAGCTAAGTGTACAGTCATTACTTTCTCACTCAAGAAACAACCAATTATTTTCAACTACAAACTACTAGGCACGACTATGGAACGGGTGCATTGCGTAAAATACTTAGGGGTTTTTCTAGACTCAAAGCTGACACACTCACACCATAATATATCGTATGTCGTCGTCAAAGCGTCCAGGATCTTTGCTTTGTCTTCAAGATTACTAAGAACTTCACAGACATTTACTGCTTGAAATCGCTCGATTGCTCTCTCGTACGATCTACGTTGGAATACTGCTCTGCAGTCTGAAGCCCGAACTACACTAATGGGGCCGAGCGAATTGAATCTGTGGAACGACGTTTTCTTCGCTTCGCGCTCCGTAAGCTCTTCCAAGCTACGAGAATCGTTGCCAATTGATCAATGTCGAGCCCCTACGTATCCGAAGAGATGTTTTTAGAGCCTTAACCGTCGCCGATACTCTGCAAGGAAGAATCGACTGCGAAGCAATTCTGCAACAAGTGAACATTAATGTTCAAACTCGATCACTACGCAACAGTCTTATGCTAAGACTTCCACTTCTTCGAACTAATTATAGCCTGGGGAGCACTGTTTACGGCTTGCAGCGAGTGTTCAACCGAGTAGCGTCGATGTTCGATTTCCACTTGACACGGAATATGCTTCGCCGAAGATTCTCTGCCTTTTTTGCTGACCGAAGGCGCTTGACGCCCAACAGCTAAGTGTAAAATTTAAGACTTATACATTTTTAGTAACTTGACAATACTTTCCTAGTTATTTTCGTTTGTAGCTGTAGTATATGTATTTGAGATTCTATCCGCCAGACTATGAATATAGCGACTATAAAGGGTGTCCACGATGAAATTGCTACACACAAAATTGATTCGCAAAATTCGAGTTTTCATCCGATTGCCATCAAATTTTCAGGGATTGAGAAATAACTATTAAACTTCATTTTACCATTTTATTCGTATTTTATTTACAGTCCATACGCAAATGCCCGCACCTTGGCCTTAACCCCGGCCATAAGATTCTGCACAACCTGTGAATCAACCGTTTTTTGCATGTAAACCCATACTTTCTTCAGTTCCTCGACTGTCTTCACTACCTTAGGTCGTTTAAGAAGGTGCTGCTTCATAATCGCCCAGTACTTCTCGATGGGGCGGAGCTCCGGAGTGTTGGGAGGGTTGAACATTTTCGGCACGAAATTGACCTTATTGTCCGCATACCACTTCAGCACGTCCTTGGAGTAGTGGCATGAGGCCAAATCCGGCCAGAAGATTGTTGGGACGTTGTGGGCCTTCAGGAGAGGAAGCAGCCGCTTCTGGAGGCACTCTTTTATGTACACCTGTCCGTTCATCGTGTCCTGGGTCACGAAAGGTGCACTCCGCTTCCCGCACGTGCAGATGGCTTGCCAAACCAGGAATTTCTTCGCAAATTTGGACATCTTCTGAGTGCGGACATGCTCCGGAACGCTGAACTTCTCCTTGGCCGTGAAAAACAGGTTGCCGGGGATCTGTTTGAAGTCGGTCTTCACATATTTTTCGTCGTCCATGATGCAGCATTCAACTTTCGTCAGCATGTTGAGGTACAACTTCCTGGCACGGGTTTTGGCGGACTTGTTCTGCTTCTCGTCGCGATTAGGGGCCTTTTATACCTTGAACGTTCGAAGTCCAGCCTTAGTTTTGGCCTTCTGGACAAAACTTCGGCTTAGGTGCAGCTTCTTAGCCACATCCCTAACGGAGGCGTTCGGATTTCGGTTGAAGGCCCCAACTACGCGGTTGTGATTTTTGGTGTTGTACGGAATACTTTTTCCTTCACTTCTGGGCTTCCGATCGGTGGTCAACCGTTCCTCGAACCGCTTAATCACTCGCGACACCGTGGAATTCGTGATTCCCAACGTTTTAGCGATGGAACGATGCGAGAGATCCTTGTTCTCGTGATGAATGCGCAAGATTTTATCACGCACGAGCTGTTCTTTCGACTCCATTTCCGCGAGTTTTGATCACAGGACTTTAAAACTTGCAGGATGTAAATAATGCACTATGAACTATATCCACCCAAATTTTCATTAAATTCTACCCAACGGTTAAAAAGTTAGAGCAATTTCATAGTGTGGCAATTTCATCGTGGACACCCTTTAGGTGCGTGTTATTATTCATTTTGAATCGAATTTATCCAAAAAATCTGAATTATTAGGCAATTTTTTTGAAAATCTTTTAAATTAAAAGCATAGACAAACAGACATAAAACGCATTGATTATTTTTCACTGTAAATCATCATCAGTCAAACACTATCGCCATCTGGTGAGTACACGGTTATGGGCAGTACGCTCAACAGATGGCGGTAGTGTGAAAACGTCAAACTATAGGTCCACGCACATTAGATCCGGATCGGACGCGTTGCGGCAAAGTGACAGCTAAATCTATTGTCTAACTGTCAACTT